CGGGGGCGGGGGCAGGAAGGCAGCAGTTGGCCACTGAAGGAAAGGCCCCGGGAGGCCAGAGCCACCGCCTCGCTCTCCGGCTGCAGGGTCCTGAAGGTGTTCCTCTCCCGCTCGGCCCAGCGAATGCCCTACATGAGCAGTGGGCGGGTGCTGAGGATGCTGGGGCTGATCCTGCTCCTGGTGCTCTGGTTCCTGGCCGCCTGGACGGTGGGGATGCTGGAGAACATCGACAAGAACATCCCGCTGGTGATCCGCTCCCGCACGGCCACAGGGCTCCAGTTCTACATCTGCGACCACGACCGCTGGGACTACATGATGGTTGTGGGTGAGACCCTGCGTCCGACGGGGGGGAGGGGAAGGGGCCTTCCGTTTGCCCAGTGACCCCTCTGACCCCAGTCCTACAAGAGCCAAAGGACACGTGGGGAAGGATGCTCGAGAGACTCGGGTTTCCAAGCCCACACTGGACATCCCACCCTGTAGCGTGAACTGGGGTTGACGGGCCGGATCCAGGTCTCCCAGCCACGCTAACCCGTCCGGACTGCGTTCTGCTGACCCTCTCCCTCCAGTCAGGCTTCAGCTGCGTCCACACGGCAGGGCGACAGGGCTCGGATCCGCGTCTCAGCAAGATTTGGGCTCTGCCCCACCCCCCAGCACGGTCCGAGGGCTGGCGTCCTGAGCGCTTGCTGACTGGGGTCGGGCAGGTGTGGGGGTGGACAGAAGTGGGGGCCTGGGCTCAAACCGGAGTCAGAACCCATCTTAGGGTGCAGGTCCGCTGCTCCCAGCCCTGGCACAGGGCAATTCCCAGCGAGGAGGCGGGAAAGCCATGAGCCGGTTCACCGGGAAGCCCACGGGGCCGGGTTTCCATGCCGACGCTTCGCCTGCACCCCAGGTAGCCCCCAGGACATCCACAGGCCTCCGCCTGCTGTCAGGCACCACTTGAGAGGAGCGAGAGCGTCAGGACCTGGCCCATGGTCAAAATGGCACCTGGAAACGCACCTTGCTAATACAAAAGGCCAGGCGTTTGGGTCCCTCTGCTGATTGGCTCTCCCTCCTACTGTGCTGTGGGGTTTCCATAGCCGGCCTCCGTTCAGGCTAGCTCCCTGTCGACAGACAGAGCAAAGCATTGTGGGGAAGCAGCCCTCAGGGCAGTGATGTGTGAAGGCAGAGCTGGTCCCTGCCTTTTTTGGGATTCCCTCCTAGCTCTGGGAGCACTCCGTGCTGGGGAATGTCCAAGCAGCACGGCAGCCTCTCCAGCCCTCCCCCTGCAGCAGCAGCCGGCCTGCCGCTGGGTTCCTAGCCAGGCAGAACTGGAGCATCCCAGTGATTTGCTCTTTGTTTGTTCCCCAAATGGAGCAGCTCACTCCGCTGTCAGACACTTCCTGGAACTTGGAAAGGGGAGGGGGGCGGAGCCTGCAGGGCAGCAGAGATCCCAAAACACTGAGCACAGCCTGTGTTCAGGCACGGTGGGATACTGGTGGAAACCAGTTCTCTCGACGAAACAAATGGCAGAGTGCATCCTGGCTCTTTGTCGACATTGAAGGGAGAGGGAAAGACAAATGTCTCTCGCAGGGCTGGAAGGTTTTTGTTGCCAAAACTGGGCGTTTTTCCCGACTAAAGCCGCAGGCTGGCTTGTGGTTCTCACTGGCTTGTGGCCAAAAGGCAGGTTTTGGTGCCAAAACATGCCAGTGTAGACAAGGCCCTCAGCACCACAGTGCTCCTTCCCTGCAACCCAACTGTGTCACTTGGCCACTGTTGTGGGCGTGCGGCCTACAGGCCATTGGGGCTCGGGGCCAAGGGAGAGCGAAGTGCTCAGAGGATGGGCATGGGAGAAAGCTGCCCTCCTCTCCGGGAAGTCATGGCAGCTAGCTCGCCTTAACTAGTCCCTCGCCCGGCCGCTGCCTGCACTCCCTGGAGCACCGCGCCCCGATACACGACCCCCAAGAGAAACGAGCCCCGGTCTTTACTGCTCTTCTCTCTCCCTCTCTCTTTCGCTCCTGCCAGCGGAGATGCTCTTCTTACTCTGGGGGAGTTTCTTGTGCTACGCCACCCGGACGGTGCCCTCCGCCTTCCACGAGCCTCGCTACATGGGCATCGCCCTGCACAACGAGATGATCATCTCGGCGGCCTTCCACGTGGTCAGGTGGGTCAGGGACGCCGAGGTCCCCGCTGGCTGGGGGACCTGCCTGCCCGGGGGGCTCCCCAGTGCAGCCCAGTTGACACAGAGCCTGGAGACACACGGGCCCCATTCCCAGGTCTCGATTTTGCACCGGCACCGAGCCTCGTGCTGTAGTTGTCAGTCGTGGGGGCAGCTTGAGGTCGCCTCAACAGCCTGCCCTTTCCTCCTCCCCTTCCGCTCTCCCAGCTCAGTGCCAAGGACGCCGGTCAGTTGGGACGCACAGGCAAGCTCCTGAACCCCTTAGGCAGCGCTAAACCCCCCTCCCCTTTCTGCTGCAGAACCAATGATGCGCCCTGCATTGTCCCACCAACCCCAGCGGCTAGACGCTCTACAGTGCGGTCTAGTGGTTAGAGCAGGGGGGTGCCAGGGTTCTGTTCCCAACGGGAGGGAGTGGTTCAGGAGTTAGAGGAGGAGAGCAGGAGTCCTGGGTTGTAGCCAATGACTGTCTCACGTGTGGCGAGTCACTTGGTCTCTCTGTGCCTCAGTTTCCCACCCCTGGCAGCACAGTGCAGATAATGACACTTACTAGCGTATAGCTCAGAGACGTCCTGGGAGACTGGCAGCGTTGCCTGGCGGGGAGCGCCCCGGAGTGGCACTTAGGCGATCTTTCTATTCCTGACTCTGCACCGGTTCTGTCGGGCGAGGGGCAGCAAGTCGTGGCCTCGCTCCGTGCCTCAGTTTCCCCCGGTGTAAAAGAGGGGCAGCGGGAGCGAGCTTTGCGATCAGAGCCAGGGCTGAGCCTGTCTGACAGGGAAATGCGGAGGGAACGTAGGCAGCGCCTAGCAGGACAGCAGGCATTCCCGGGGGCGGGGTTCCTATCACCGGGACAGCCCCTTAATAGTGAGGGTTGGCTGCCCCCACTGTGCCCAGCCAAGGGCGGGATAATCTAATTCACCGGGCCAGACGCTGGGGCCTGGATTCATCTTTAATCAGGCTTTCCTGGGGCCAAACCCCCGTTTGGGGCGTCTCCCCCTCCAGCTGTGCACAGCGGTATCGCTGCTGTCTGGGGTCCAGGCAGGGGCGACTGGTGAGGGGGGATCTGGGGTGTCGCATGACCCCCCTGTGACGGCGCGTTGGGGGTTCCCCGTCTCCTGCACCCCGAAATGGCACAAACAGACTGTACCAGCCAGTAGAATTGAGGGTGGTTTATTGCTCCTCCAGCACAGCGCAGCACAGATGTAATCTGGTTACAGGAACTGGGCTAGGATGCCTCAGGCCCCCTTGAGATGGGGGAG